TATTGAATAGGAAGGTGACACGATCAAACCTATGCTTTAGGAAAATCACATTGACACCTGTATGGAAGGTGAATGGGAGGGAGAGAGTTGAGGCAGGGAGACCAGTTAGAAGGCTTTTGGCCTGTTAGAAGTGATGAGGGCCTGAGCTAGGGGGAGTGCATTGCCAAATAAGATGAGAAAAGTAAGTATGTGGTAAGGGAAGGAAAGAAGGTGAAAAAGAGAGCAGCAAAGAGAATAAAAGAGAAAAAACACGTGGACAGCAGTAGTGAAAAAGAAAAATTGGGGCGGGGGGGTGAGGGGGAGAAAAGGCTGTTGGAAAGAACTGAAGGGGCAGCTGGGTGGCACAGTGGATAGAGCACCAGCCCTGAAGTCAGGAGGACCTGAGTTCAAATCCAGCCTCAGACCAAACACTTGACACTTAATAGCTGTGTGACCCTGGGCAAGTCACTTAACCCCAATTGCCTTTAAAAAAAAAAAGAAAGAACTGAAGTTAGAAAAGGATGGAAAAGGAGAGAGAAGGAAATGGAGGGAGATGAACTTGGGTGAAGAGAACTGTTTAATATTAGCTCACCATTTATATGTGGCTTAAAATGGATATTAGAATCATAGCATATTAGATGCAAAAGCCCTTAAAGATGATTCTGTCCAACGCTTTTAATAGATAATGAAACTCAGATCCAGAAACTAGTGGCAGAGCCAGGACAAACACCCACTTCTGATGCTAGTACAGTCAGAGCTTTCACTGAAAGAAAGCACAGAGACCTTTTTTCTCATAAGACTGCTGGGTATTTCACCGAGGTCGAAATGTAGACTCTAAATTTACAATGCACCACCCATTTTCATTATTTTGTGTGATTTCCATGGTCTACATTTTTAACAGCTGCCACAAGAAAATAGTGTGGAATCAGGCTTTTGTTATTGTATGCTTCCTTAGAAGTCATCTAGGCAAATCTTTTCACTTTACAGATGAGAAAACTGAAGCTCAATGGGGAAAATGACTTGCTCAGGATCAAATTGCTGGTCAGAGGCAGGGCCAGGACTAGAATCTGAGCCTCCTGGTTCACAGTCCAGTAATCTTTCCGCTTCTTTACATTGTTTGAAACTAACTTATGTGACTAAACATATCGGTTTCATGTTTGTGATATGAAACCTCTGAGGTCAGTGACCATGATTTCATTATCTCAGTATCTCTGAAATGCCTAGCACTGTATGTGGGGAATCTCTACTAAAAAAGTTACTGTGACCACTAAACTAGTGGTGGCTGGACCTGTATAATTAGACTAGAGGGTATGGAGACAGCAGCATTTAACCTCCATTTGAATTACATCTATCCCTTAGAATATAGCGTAACTATATTGTTCAGGATAAAACTTATTTTTTTTGAATTGTGACTTTTTAAAATTAATTACAAAGTTTGAACACCATAAAGAGAATGTCCATACATAAATCAAAACATGCAAAAACAGTAGGACTTTATATGAAACTATGGATTCTACTTCATATCACTTACTTTAGGTATATAATTCTAAATTTTCATTTCAAAGTAGTTCTGCTTGTCATGTTAGTAGTTGAACTTCCCTTGTGTGAATTTACACAAAACATGACTATGGGCCTTTAAGACATCATTTTTACTATTACTACACTATTACTAACTCGATCTTTCATTAATCTCCCTTTTTTCCTCCCAATTAAGAACACAAAAAGGAAGGGGGGAAGGGGTATGGGGGAGTAGGATGGAGAGTTGTAACAATCAGATCCACAGAGTGGCCATGTCTAAAAATGTATGCTGCTTTTTCTATCATGTATCCAAAAACACCTTTTCAGTTTCCTTTTTTTTTGAGGCAGTCAGGATTAAGTGACTTGCCCACTGTCACACAGCTAGTAAGTGTCAAGTTTTTGAAGCTGGATTTGAACTCAGGTCCTTCTGCCTCCGGGGGCCAGTGCTGTATCCACTAAGCCACCTAACTGCCCCCAGGATAAAACTTTTGATCAAGAAGGAAAAAGAGATGATGAAGTGTTTTTGTGGTAGAGTTTTTTTTAAACCATGCTAACAAAATATGACTGAATCTTATGGTTGCCTCAGAAATGTGTTACATATTGCAAAGATAATTACAGATACATTTGCATGAAAATCAGGTGGTTGGTTCATGAAGGTTGATGTGCATGGAGTACAAACCTGCTTCACATTAAGTGCAGGAAGGAAACCATCAATCAATATATGGTATCAGCAGTATTCCTTTTTCTGGAGTCTTCCCAGATGTACCTTATCTTTCAGATTTTTTTTTTTTGACAAGGATTCAGTGAAATGGCCATAGAGGCATGTGGGAAGATTCAGAAAAAAAAGGAATACACTTTCATCTTTGGTCTGGCATAGAGCTGAGAACACCCACCTGGCATTCAAGTCCACGCTCATGAAGTGCCTGCTCCCTATGTGCCAAGCACTGACACGGGAGGGAGAGCAACTGGATCTGCCATGTAATTGATGCTTTATGGCAAAGGGATGTGTGCCAGGGCAAGCTGGCACACTCGCTAAAACAGGAAAGTCTTAAAGAGTTGCCCACGGCATTGAGAGGTTAAGTGACTTGGCACATGAGATGTGCACATGGCAGCTAATAGCGTATCGGTTAGAGCACTGGGCCTGGAGCCAGGAAGACCTGAGATCAAATTCGACCTCAGATACTTACTAGCTGTATAACCCCTGAGTGCTCTTTACCTCAGTTTCCTCATCTGTAAAATGGGGATAATAACATCCCTTACCTCCCAGGGTTGTTGTGAGGGTCAAATGAGATAAAATTTGTAAAGTGTTCAGCATAGTGCCTGGCACGTAATTGTTGTTGGTCATTTTTCAGTCATGTCCAACTCTTCATGACCTCTTTGGGATTTTCTTGACGGAGATATTGGAGTGGTTTGCCATTTCCTTCTCTAGTTCGTTTTACTGGGGCAGATGGCGACTTGCCACCCAGAGTCACACAGCTAGTAAGGGTCTGGAATCTTCTGTACTGTATCTGCTGTGCCACCTGGTTGCCCATTGTAGCTGGCACATAGTAGGTGCCATGTAGTTGCTAGTATCATCATCCTTGTTGTTGTTGGGCGGCAGGGGGTAACTTGATCTAGTTTTCGAGCCTTACTTTCTATCTAATACACCCAGCAGCCTCTACTGAGGGAATACAAAGGTAAGTAAGCCATGGCCCCTGCCCTTAGTCAGTTTACCTTCTGATAGAAGAGATAAGAGATATAACTTAATAAAAATAAGAAAGAGTTAAGTGCAAAACAGAAGTCCAAGTTATATGAGATTGGAAGTAGAGATAATTTCTAGCTGGAAGTATCAGGTGCGGCTAGGCTTTCTTGAGAAAGTGATACTTGAGCTGGGCCCTAGCGGAAGGGAAACATTTCATTTGGCAAAAGTGTAATAGGGCGTAGCCATCCTATTCCAGGCATAGAATACGATGTGGACAAAGTCATGGTGGAGGGAGAAACCAGGGAAGATTACAGTTGCTGAAGTATCTTTCTAGGCATTTAGTTGACATATCTGCTTTGATTGGACTGAAGTTGTCTCCCTCAAGTTTCTGCCCTGAAAGGAAGGCATTAGACATTACTAGTTTGATTAGAGAAGATATTGGCATTGGGGAGTTTACGAGTTCTGCCTGAAGTTTAGGACATGCTGGAAAGACGTAGGAGAATGGGGATACTATCCCCAGGAGACCTAGGATATTCTAGCAGAGCAACATTATTCAAATTGTGTCTTAGTTAACAGATATTTATTGAACACTGATTATTATTGTAAAGGAGGCAAAAAGAATAAAGTATTTGCTGCCTTATAGTTTTAGACTTCAGAAGATGTTTTGGAGGTGAGAAAGGCTAAACTCATGCTAATTAATTAAGAATGGAATTAAGATCACTCAGATTTGACTTACTGTTATCTTTTGGTCTTAATGTTCCCTCTGTTTCATTGGGTTTTAATGAGACCATCTTTTGAAGGGTTTTGGACCTGAGTTACATTTTAATTTACAAATTACATTGCAAATTACATACATACCAAGGAACCTTTGAATGGAACAAAAATAGGTGAAAATAATAGAACATGATAAGCAAAACTGTCTGACATTAGGAGCAGAAACACTGGTGAGGCCTTTGCAAGGTCCGATGAATTATCTTGGAAAGGTATACAACCTCAGAGCAAGAAATGTCGATGATTATTTGTCAAGGAAGTAGTGTTAGAAAAGTGACTAGTTTCATCAAAGTTTGAGTGTTTTCTCACTGTATCTGACCCAGTCTGAACTGATGAGCTGGAGAAAAGATGGGTTTTGATCTGAATTGGGAGGCAGTGGTTCTTAAAGCATGATCTGCTAGCTGTCAGTGAACTGGCTTCTTGTCTAACCAACTGTACTGTACCTCACTTAACCCAGAAGTTCCATCCTCGAAAAGTTTTTAGTAAATCAAATCTCTTTTCTCTCCATCTTCTTGCTGTTCTTTCATGCTTTCTCCTTTTATTTATTTATTTATATGTTTTTATTTTATATATATATATATATATACACACATATATATATATATATATATATTTTTTAATTAAATCTGGGCAATGGGGTAAGTAACCTGCCTACGGTCACCACAGCCAGTAAGTGTTACGTGTCTGAGGCTGGATTTGAGCTCAGTTCCTCCTGAATCCAGGGTCAGTACTCTATCCTCTGCGCCACCTAGCTGCCCCCTTCTCCTCTTATCATAGTCTTTCTTCTATGTATATTCACATGGAGTTATGCCCTTTCACTTTCCCACTTTGAGAAATTTGTAGGTTTCATCACGTAATGGAAAAGGTTGGAAAGCACTGCCCTGTACGAGTGTCACCTGCTCCTGACAGCTCACCTGGGCTTAAGTTTCATGTCATTGGCTTTCAAACAAATATTTGCATTTGTACATTTGGCTTTCACTTGTGAAATTTTTGGCTTTACAAGGTGTTGGTCTCCCTGTACCTATTTTTTCATTCTCCCTTCCTGACCTAGAATGTGATGACTGGTGGAAAACCGACTGCAACCCGAACAATACCACCATCCCTTCTAACTGCACTGGCTGTGCAGTGCTTACAGGCCTCCAGGTGGTGCCACTCATGTCACAATTACCCTCCGAATTTGACAAACTCCAGCCTCTGCTGATCAAGGTAAAAAGAAGCCTAGTTCTTTGAATGATTAATTAGTCAAAACTGAAAAAGTACCCAGTGCTTTCCAGCAGCAACCAGTAATAACTTTTGTGTTGTGTTTTTATTTTTGCTTTGCCTAAGACTGGAAACATTCTGTCATCCAAGGAGCTTCATCTTTTTCAATGCCAGTATCCAGAGTTGACAGAAGGGATCTCAGAAGGAATGTTAACCCGGTGGTGGAATTGTTTTCCTCATCAGCGTTTCCCTTTTAATTTCCCATGGTGAGTCACAAGAACGAGTGGGTTAGCCCAAGGCCCGAGTGCGTGATATTGAAAAGCAGAGTTAAAAAATAATGATGAATGACAGAGTTGAAGAGCAGAAAAAGGTTGTGAGGTGAATAGGGCCAGGAAGGGGAAAGAGGAATACACCCTAGGAATACTTAATACGGTACCAATTTCTGTTTGCATATTGGGTGGAACTCAAAATAAGTGCTAGAAATTGCTTGCTTAATGAAAGACAAATAGAGACATGGTCTTTGCCCTTGGGGTTTTGTTTCCTTTTTTGGGGGAGGGGGACAGTTTTCTGCTAGAATGAAAATATCCTCAGAAGAAAATAGGGTGAAATGGCTTTTCATCTCCATTTGTTTTTGTGAAATTTACTGATAGTCTTTTCCTCTTCTTCCTGTCTCATAATTGTGTCTCCTAAATAAGAATTAGAGTTTTCATCCTCAATTGTACAAGTTGGCTTCATTTAGCAAGCTGATTTACATCCTCCCCCCTACCTCCCTTGTAAACCGTACCCTGGAAAGAGGGGACAGGCTTGCATTATCTGTGCAGTGGGGTATTCCTTTCTTCCTCCTCCTCCTCTCCCTTACTCTTTCCTTTTGTCTTCTTGCCTCTCTCTCTCTCTCTGACTTCTGTCTGTTTTCCAAGATAAGATGAATAAGTTGTGTTTTGCTGCTTTCTTCATGTTATTTTAACTGGACTTCATCAACATCCCACCCACTTACACAAATGTGGTTGTGGGGTGTCTTTGTGTTATGTTTGTTAAATAATTTATGATGGTTCTTTTTGATGGAATGGATTTAAAAGATAAGCCCAGTTATTTTTCCACCCACCCCACCCTATATCATTCCATTCTTATTTTGCTTTCTAGAGAATGGCAACGGTTCCACTCCCCCAGTGTGACCTTTTTTTCTGTCTGTTATTTCACAGGAGCAAACCTCTGAATAGAACAAACATTCTACATGAGCTTTTCCCTATGTTCGATTCCTTGCCGTTTCCCAAAGATTCCTCCTTGAAAACCTGCTTTGTCGCCCACCAGCCTCCTGTACTAGGGAGTAAGGTGAGGAGTCAATCAAACAATGACCATTTATTACAGGTCTACTATGTGCCAGAGAATACGAAGAGAGAAATGCAAAATGATCCTTCCCCCTGAGGAGCTTATCCTCTATCAGAGAAAAATAGAAAGTTATTTTTTTTTTGGAGAGAGATCCCATCAGCTAAGAGATGAAGAGAAGCCTCATGTAGAAGGGCTTGAAAGAAACTAGGGATTTTAAGAAGCAAAGCATGCCACTCTCTGAGCAGTATGAAAGTCTCTTTTATATATTGGGTCAGGGAGGATGGTTCTTTGCCATTAATTGGGTTTCATTGGTGCAGATTCTAATAACATCTTTTCTGAGGATTACATTCTTGCTGACATTTTCTGTTTGGTCATTATCTACTCATTTGAGTTCATTAACGTGGAAGAGCTAAATATGTGAATAAAGAAGGAATCTTTTCTTATGCCCGCTTCAAAGCTAGCAGCATTAAAGTGTGAACTAAAGACACATTTGCTGTTTATGGTTTGAGTTTGATCTGCCTAAGAATATCTCCCAGTTGTCGGTCAGTGCCTGATATTGCCTTATGTTCTCCCGCCCATGTTAATTCTTGGTAAGAGGCAGCCAGCCATCAACTGCTACCCACAAGGCAGGCCAGCCAGCCTAACTGGAGCAGCAAGTTTCCCTGAGGGAGAGATAGGAGCTGTCGTGTGCCAGACAAATCAAACCACTACTACCTTGAATACCATTTCCCCTTAAATTCTACCTGCCCCCCATCCCCAAAGGAGATATCCTAGGACCCTGAGCCCAGGATCCTTGGGAATAGCAGTGCCCCTAAACCACAAAGACCTCCTTCCAGCCCATCCCCTAGAGCCATTATCGAGGGGAGAAATCACTGTGGATAAGGTGCTTGCTTACCATCCTCACCATGTGAGGAGTTAAAAGCTCGTGAAAATATGTTGCCTAGAAGTAGGGTCCCTTTTTGTCTAGTAGTAGACTAGATGGTGATGCCGAGCTCTTGCCAGGGCTTTAAAAAGAGTCCAGTTTGCTACTACGTGCTAGAACTTAGGACCCCAAGCATAATAAATTCATCTCCATAATTACTGTGTGTTTCTGGATGAGTGACTGTTTTTACCTTCTTTTTTTCACTTGAGAATTAGGGTGAGTTACACCAACCTGCCTTATAACGATGGTGAGAAACCTGACTGCAGAATCCCTGTAGATAACAAAGGGCCTTCATCACATTCCACTCAGTTATCATAGCCTGTTAAATTACTAAGCAAAGTAATCTAAGAGGAATGACCCAAAAGGCAAACATTCCAAATATGGTCTGTTTCTTTACATAGCAGATGATTCCTGTGTTCTCCACCCTGGCCCTTTTTCCCCAGCTCTTGTCCCAGTGTACTTCTCCTTATCTTCCTGTCCCCGCTGCCCTAGGCTCCGGTGCCAGCCCTGCTCCCAGACGACTTCCTGTCCCTGGTCATTGCTAGCTTCAGCCCTTGCTGCTAGAGTTGCACCCATTGTTCCCAGTGTTGCCCTGGCAACAGCGGTAGGCATGGGATTGGCCTAGCTTATAGCAGGCGGCTTTAGTAGTGGTGGAGGGGGGGGTAAACAGGGCAGGAGCTGAGGCCCATGGCTGTGGGGAGGGGGATGATGGATGGAAACCACAAGTCAGTGGCTCCTGCCCTGATGTTCCAGATATCCGGAAGAGTAGGAACTGAGTAGGTAAGGTGCTAATGTATTTCTTCTTAGTGTTTTACCATGATCGTTGGCCATATTTTTCTATAGCACTGTATATTAATGGCTTGTATGGGACCTCAGGTCAACTAGTCCAATCCCCCCCCCACCCCCTGTCATTTTACGGATAAGGAGACTAAGGTTCATGGTGGTTCAGCGACTTGCCCAAGGTCACATAGATAGTGAGTATCAGAAGTAGAATTTGAACCCAGATCCTACAATGCCAGAGTCAGTGTTCTTTCCACAGTAGTACCTATGAGTTTTATAGATTCTGAGACTGAGGCTCAGGTTATACAGTGAACTGGTCTTGATTATGTAACTCACATTTCTATAGTACAATAACCTGGAGAGCAAGGATTTTTATTCTCAGCTTCCATAAGGAAACCAAAGCTCAGAGAGGTTAAGCACTTGCCTGTGATTACAAAGCTATTAAGTCTTAGCTAGAATTCAAACCCACATCACTCCCAACTCCCAAGCCCAGTGTTTCTCCCACTGTGTAATGCTGCCTCTGTCTCTTCAACCAGATTATAATGTCCTCCTAGGTAGAAGAATTATATCTTTTATTTTCAGTGCCTAACTCTTAATCGGGTGGCATTCAAGTTGGCCAATGGACCTTGACCCTCTTTGTTTTCCTTATGCTGTATTCTCCTTCTGCAGATGCGTGCGGTTCACGACCTCTTTGTCATCGGCAGTGGTGAGGGTATCATGTACCTCACTCCTCCTATTGAGTGCAGAAGGCACTGTAATACTGTGGTGATGCAGCTGGAGCCAGGGGACGTTGGTATGTATCAAGCCCTGTGGGAAGATCATTGAGCCTTACTTGTTTACTCCTTTATTACTCTTTTAGGCAGTTTTGCTTAAAATTATTTGGAGAGGGAACATATTTTGTGCTGGGAGGGGTGGAGGGGTGTGTGTGTGTGTGTGTGTGTGTGTGTGTGAGAGAGAGAGAGAGAGAGAGATAGGTCCATTGTGTGTCCATCTCCCTAAATAAGTTTTTTATTCATGAGTTTTTATTGATTGGGGGAAAGAAAGAGGAAAGAGATGTAACTTTTTTTTGAGGCCAGTCATTACAGAATAAATGTAATCCAGATGTCTGATTGCACCAAAAACAGCCAATGTCAGTTACACTGGTGACTGGCCCTGTTGTTTTCTTTTTGGTTTTTTGGATTGCTTATCATTGTCTTTTTGTTGGTGTGAGATTGCTCTCTTCACTTGAGGTCTTCAGGAAGAAGTTCTGTGTATGTTCACTTGTCACACATTCTACCTGCTTAGGTATCTCACTGAGTTCTATTGTAACTTCTAACTCTGAGATACTGTGATTCTACTGGAAGGATAGGATTAAGGAGAAATTTCTTTCCACATTATCACATTGCCATTGTCAGGGAAAATTTGAAGTGTACATAATCTAATCAAATTCCAAATTTTATTTCAGATTTAAAAGTTAAACCAGATTTAAATTAATTTAAATTAAATCACATTTAAAAATTAAACAACACAGTATGAACATTGATCGGACTGATGTTTGCCAGTGATACCGGGTCCAGAGTCTCTAGTGGGGAAAAAAAATGGTGTAGGTGTGATATAGATAACCAGGGACTACTAGAAAGGACCTAAATATAGGAGATTTCAAATTTTTAAACTTACTTCCTCCACGTTGAAAGTGACCTTTAGATTTGGATTTGGAATATTAACATTTTTGTACCTGAATATATTTGAATGTAATATCTTTATGTTCTGAGAATTCATAGCATTTCAAACGAAAGATATTATTACACCTCACATGGAGAATGTTTCCTAAATTCACAAGAAGCCACAAAGGTGCCTGAAAAGGAAAGGAATGGACTCTTAACCTCTCTAGGCCTCACTTTTCTTACCTGTAAAATGAGGGAGTAGAAGTAGATGATCTGAAACATTCTTCCATTTATAAATCCTATGATTGTAAATTGTAAATCCATGATTACTGTAAACAGGCTTCTCTCAAATGACTATATTTGTAGTTTCCATTTTTTGTGGATTAGTTGTAATTAAATGTTTTAGTTTAAAAGATTGTTGAATTTGAGAACGTATAATAGTAACAGATTAATATTTACATAGTGATTTCCCATTTCTTAACTCATTTGATTACAACCCTGTGAGGTAGGGAGGTCAGAGATTTTAACCCTTATTTATATAGAGGCCCAAATAATAACCTTGCCCAAAGTCACAGAACTTGTCATTGTCTCAGCTGAAACTTGAACCCAACTCTTCTGATCCAGAATCAGTCATGTAGAATCCCAGAGCTGCCATCTAGAGGCCATCTAGTCCAACTTACACCTGAATAGGCTTCCTTTCTATAGCATCATATCTAATAAGAGGTTGCCCAGATTTTACTTGAAGACCTCTTTTGAGAAAAACGCTCTTGTACCAGCCCATTCTACTTTGTCAGTTCTAACAGGAACTTCAGGGCTCGGCATGATGCTGCAAGCAACTATGGGTCAGTGAATAATTTCTTCACATGCTGTCGCTTATTTAAATCAAAATAGACTCAGAAGCAATATCTTGTAGTGTGCTGGAGGATCATTCAGTGTTGACTGCTGGCTTTTTCAGTTTGATTTTGATGTTGTACCCATCTTTGAGCCAACAAATAAAAATGATATGATCTGCTGTTGTCATTTGCTCCCAAAGGCTATGCCAGTGTGGATTATTGGAAGATAAGTGTTGGACCAAGAGGAACAGAGCCCTTGGTGATCTGTGATGGAACCCACCAACTCAGAAATGTAGAGAAACAGGATTCTGTCCCAGGAGAACCTGGTAGAGCTGAAGAGAAGATCAGGTTGATTGGGTGGGCGGGGTGGGAAATAAAAAAAAGACCGAAACAATGAAATTTCTTTTCAGGGGTTGGTTACTTAGTAGTTTTCCCTTTGCATGTGTGATTCTGTGATTCAGGTAGTGATATGCTCAATGTAGCCTTGTGTACCATACAGTTATACTCACTCTGTAGATAGACTGTGAAGAATTCACTTCCCTATAGGCTGCTCAGGCTAAAAGCCTGTGTTCCTGGTGAGTGCCAGATATTGTCTGACCTTGGAGAATTCTCAAGAAAAGGGAACACTCAATAAGATGGCACCTGTCTGACCTGACATCTTGCAGCTGAGACTACCACTGTCCCACTGAAGGGGCTCGGCATAGAGAAGGGGAGTAGATTCTGCCCTTTCTGCTAACTCTTAAGTTTACCACTTCCAGCTTTCAACACGGGGGGCGCAAGACCATCCTCCTGAGTGCCCAACCATACTTAGGCCCCCCTCTGTCCTGACTCTCTCCTATTTAGACTTCCATATTTTGCAGATCTATAGTAGAGGCTTCCTCAGGAACGCTTTCATTGTTGCCCTCAGTAGTATTGACTATAGAGTAGCCCATGTTAGCAACCAATATGTCCTCAGCACACTCAGCAGATGTACTTCTTTCCAGCTATCCTTCCTAGAGACCTTAGGAATTTCAGACTCTGACTAGAGCCTGACAGTAATTTGATTGGGCAGTTCCTAGGGGCAATACTCTCCCAAATTGTTCAGATTCTCCAGGTTTTTTTCTTCTTCTCATTCTCTTCTCTCTCTGATTTGTTTTCTCAGTAACACATCTCATAATCCCACCCATATCAAGGGATTCTGTTTTGCTTTACCAAAATGTCTTTCAGAGAGGGAGTATTGTTAAAGTAGGCCAGCATGGGAAGCAGTTTCCTCCCTGGCCTTGATCTTTAGGATTTGAATTTCTTCTGTGAAAGATGGTTTACAGATGTGTCAAGCTGATGTCATAGTGTGGTTAGGGGAGGAACTCAGGACATGCATTGTTGGCTGACTGATGTTGGTGGGGTGTAAGGCTGCTGTTTTACTGAGAAATAAGGTGGGTTGTTGCTTTTTTTCAGTCTTGTAAAGCTGTTTTATTTTCATTGGGCATTTGAGTCTAGTAAAAATTTCTCTGAAATGCTGTCATTCAGCACCAGTAATATGGTGTAAATGGTAGGGTTCATTTCTTGTTCTGCTGCCTTTCTTGAAAATGTGAAGACACCTAAGACCCAGTGGGTGGGCAGGCCACTGCTCAGAAAGAGGCAAAACTAACAAGACTAACCGTGGTGTGGCTGTATTTGGAGCTGCTGAGAGTCAACTTCCAGAGCACATCTTTTTGCTAGAGACCAGTGTTATTGACTAGAGAGACCAGTGTTGAGGGCAGTTCATCCTGATGTCCACCAGCAGCTGCCTGCAAGGCTTCATTCTTAGCATCAGGAGAAACCCTACGAAGCCCAAAGCTCCGAGTTTTTCTGTCAGTCTTATGAGTCACGTGGCCCCTTCTGCTTAACGTGATTTCCTTTGTTGTATTCCTACCTATTGTTTTATAAAGGGACATAATATGAATTTAGAGTGGTAGTTCTATAGCTGCTGTGTAGGTGAGTCATTTTGAGCCATCCTAGATTAGAAAAAATAATGGATTACATTCAGTGGCATCACTGGTTAAAAGATGCAGCCACTTTTTATATCAATATGTGAAAACTCAAACCAATATTTCCTTGTAGAAAATACAGTCCTTTTAAATCATGATTCAAGATTGCTTTAGAACTCAGAAGAGAAGGTCTGATAGGAATGTAGGCAAACATGCAGAGTTTCTTGTAGCGCACTCCATATAGAGCACGAAGGGGAATAATGACTTGGCTTTAGATGTCTTTGGTACCTCTGGCCAAGTGTACGCCTGTCTTCTCCCTGTTTTCGACGGGTTGCTCCACAACAACTGTTCCGGTGAATGGGACTTCTGGGTTTGTCTCTTGGAGGAGCTAATAAGAGCGTAGCAATATCATAGGTTTTTAGAGCCTGTTCAGAACTGAAAGGGGTCTTAGAGACCCTCTCGCCCAGTCGCTCCTTTTAGAGGTTATGGAAGGAATGGAGGGCCCAGAATGCAGAGTGACTTGCCCATAGTCACCCAGACAGTCGGGCAGAGACATGACTTGAACCCAGGGGCTCTGACTCCAGACCTGTGGCTTTCTCCCTCCACCAGAGGAGATCCAACTAGAGCTTAAAAGGTCTGGGGAATGCCCCATTTACATGAAACAGTGACCTTGAGGGACTGAGCAGTGAAGGTCTTAGCAGACCCGCCACTGAAAGGTGACCCACCAGGAAGTTCTAGTAGCTGTGGTTTTGCCAGTTTCACAAAGGACCATTACAATAAGTTATTAGAAATAATGTAGACCTCTGAAGTGTCCCACTGTTTTGAAGATGTTTGTTTGATGGTCTGAAAACTAAGTCTTAATGACTCGGCTGAAGAGCCATTTTAAATTTTACCTGTTTTATAGGTTGCTGTGGCCAAAAAAAGCCTCGTTGGCCAGCCTATTTCTGCTGTGCCTCTCTCTTCCCAGGCTGGTTCTCAGAAAATAAGCTTTGTCTGTTCCAAACCTGGGGCCATCCTTAAAGCCTGGGAAAACCTGCCAGAGTTTACACTTTGTTAGCAATGCCTTTGGATTCCCTTCCGTGCCATGGTGAAGCATCTGCCTAAGACCTATTTGAAATTCACAGTTGGAATTGACTGAGGCAGACTGAACTGTCGGTTCCTGGCTTCTGGAGGCACTCTTGTCAAGAAGTGAGGTGGCTGTTGTACAGACTGAAATTGCACACTGAGACCTATATATGTGACAAGATGAGGTTTCGTTTTCCCAGAGCAGAGAGGATTTCATCACTAGAAACTGCAGTTATCTCTGACTGTCTTTGGATTTTGGCTACTTTGGCACAGAGTCCAGTTAGTACCAGCTTTGGGCCCTTTTACTAGATTAAATATCTGTATTGAGGTAAAAGATGGTGACGGCAGGGATAGCACATAGATATCAGAAATGCTGGTTTCCAGAGCTTTCTAATTTGGAAAAATCAGGTCTATGAAAAGACCTAGACACCTTATCATCAGAGGACTGACCACCAAATGATTTTCCTCTTTGACCATAGCAACCCATAAAAACTGTCTGCTAAGGTATGAGGAGAAGGGACCATGATCTGCTTTGCTGAAGAGAAGAACTGTGGTAGAAAATACTGATTCTTAAGGTCACAGTGTTAGTTGGTATAGAGGACATCTACAAACAGGCAGCAGCCTTCTGCAGCTCTCAGATAGCCACTTGATCTAGTCAAGGAATGGCATAAGCAGATAATGAAGTGAGTGTCAGAGGTGAGCCAATTTAACTTCTTTGTACACCTACCTCGGAATTAGGCCATCTGGGGAAAAAGGCACGGAGGCTAGTAAGGCTTTAAAATTTATTAGTCAGTCAGTAGCATTTATTTAAATATGTACTGTATGTCAGGGATTGTGCCAAGTGATGGGGATAAAGTGCAAATAACAACAGAAGTCCCTGCCTTCAAAGCTTACAGCCCAAAAGGTCAAGACAGCACACAAAGGGAAGAAGTTGAAAAGAGCAGGGGGGGAAGAGGGTTAAAAAAAATTTAAAAATTTTATTTGCAAGAATCTTCTAGAAAGAAATACAAAGGAAAACAGGTGAGATAGGCTTTGTCTTTTATGATGATCAGTTTTAAAATCTGATCACACAACATGGTAGTTAGAAGATGAGCTCGTCCAAGACAACTCTCCAGGACCAGGTGCTTTCAGATAGGTCGACGGGCAAGGGTATGGCCTATTTTCTGTTGTGGTTCCCTCAACATTAAGTTTTCTGTTCCCTTCCCCTAAAAAGGGGAACCTTCCATGACCAGGGTCCTCTTCAGGACCTGAGGCAGGAGCAGTGCTTTCAAAACCAAAAGTATCTTGCTCTAGGAATGGCACTAGGAAGTCAACACTGGAATTCATCGCTTTGCGGTTTTTTCCCTTTTTGTCATTGTTGTGGTAGTGTCTTTTAATAAATGTTACAAGGGTAGGGTGTAGGGCTTTTACAGTTTTTGTACTAATCAAAGTCTAGTCTCTTTCCTTCTCTTTCTCTTTTGCTTTACATAGCTGGAAAAGGCCAGATTGGGAAAGGAAAAGAGTTGGCATGGGCAACGGAGGCAGAGGTAGAAAGCTTTGCCTAGCCCTTGTTGCACAGAGATTTAACCTATTTTCTGGGAGTTAGGCAGTGAGGTCTGTTTCTCCTTTTGAACTCCTGTTAGAAATTGAAAAGATCTCGTCACTCCTCAAGTTCTATCATCCCCTTTGCATCTCCCAGTGGTGATTCTGTAGCTTAACAGGGTTCTACTCCTAAATTGCTTTGGAAGATTTTAAGTTAATGATTCTCCTCATATCTGGTCCCTGAAAAGTTTATACATGAAACACTTGAAGTGTCAGGGCCTGCAGGAAAATATGAGAGTGGGTGTACAACCTTTCAAGTTGATGTCCAATGGAAAGGCTGTGGTACCATAAGATGCTTTTCCCCACTGCCATCGGCATTCATTTCTCCACCTGCTCCTCTCCTCACAAGGTGTTGGTCTTTCCATGGTACTAATTCCAAGAGACTGCAATTCCAGAATGTTTGGGTATAGAAAGACAAACTTCTGGGAAAAGACACCTGTAAACTGTTGCATACCCTCCTTTTCCTTAACCTCATTGCACCCTCTTTGGCCAACTCTTGTCATGGGGTGAGACAGTGAAGGCCTGAACAACTGTCTTGTCGAGATGGATAAAATTTTAGATGGTGCCTGTCTGTCAGGTGATCACACTGCCCCGTCGTCCTGAGGAGCTTGAGTCTTGTTCTCAGCTGGGCCTTGGCATACTAGGTTTTTTAACTAGGAATTGTTATTAATACTTTTTGTTTTAACGTCACCTACTTTTCCCAATGTAGCCTTCGCATT